CACACAGTGAATGTGCTTATGTGAAGCAGGGTTATTCTGATATCTACATGCTGTAATCACCCCGTGGTGCACAGTGAAGTGACCAGCTCCTCAAGCTGCTGTGTGGATGTGTGTGTTCATGAACGTGAGGAAATGTAGATTATCATATGCGTCTGTCTTTGTCTTTTTCACCAGGAAGGTCCATACAGATTACAAAGGAGGATCATTTTCACCCTTTCATGCTTTGATCCTGATTTGGGGACTGCCGCTTTAAAATCTAATGAGATTGTGCTCTCTTCAGAAGAGGGCGGGGCTACAAATGCCTATGCATCAGTGTAGTGGCAGATTCAAAAACAAGGCTAACATTAGACTTAATCATATCGCGTTGTTTATTTCAGTTGTGTGTGTGTTCTGTTGTTTTTATCAATGCTTCTTATGACCATCTGACTTTCTCCAGATGCACTGCTCTAAATAAATCCCCATATCAATCTACAGTAAAGCGTTCTGTTCAGTTAGAGCTACTCGAGACATCTGGAGAGACGGGCTCATCACAATACATCCTGGAGAATAACCCAACATCCCCCAAGGGCATCTTTCTTCTGACATTGTGCAACCCTTAATGAACCATTCACACACACATGAGCAGCACTGATGGAAACACACACACAGGTGCACAAACACACTCAATTTCACACACACACACACACACACACACACACACACACACACACACACACACACACACACACACACACACACACACTCACACACACACACACACACACACACACACTCACATTTACTCACGCTCCCAATTTTACACACACACACACTCACTCACTCACTCACTCTCATAAACTCACAGGAAGCGTGTCGTACCTGAATGGGTGAAGAGGAGCATACAACACATATGCGCATACACAAACACTCTTGCTCACTCACTCACTCAATCACTCAATCACTCTCTCACACACACACACACACACACACACACACACACACAAGAAGCGTGTCGTACCTGTACGGGTGCGGAGGGGCTGGAGCAGCGGGAGTTGTCGTTGCTCGACTCCGCCTTCTTCCCCACCCGAGTGTTCTGTGTGCTCACACTCTCTATCGAGGTGCAGCTACACGCACGCACGCACGCACAAACACACACACATGGAGAGATGACGCAAACAAATGAGATGAGAGATGACAAAAGCAAAACAAGTGCGCCGCGACGTGACATGACTTCTGATCAAAACACACAGACGGATGAGACACACACTGGGTTAATGACACACACTCAGCTCTGAACACACACTTCAGCGACACCTCATATTTCACACACATCAGCAGAAACTGACTATGTTCACATCAGTTAAACACATTACACACTTACATCTTGACCATCACACGGATGAGGAGCCTCCAGCAATAAAATAACAACAACAACAATAATAAAAGAAAAAAAATAATAATAACCGTAATAATAACAATAATAACCATAATAATCATAATAATAACCATAATACTAATAATAATAACAACAATAATAATAAAAGAAAAAAAAATAATAATAATAATAATAACAATAATAACCATAATAATAATAGTAATAATAACCATAATAATTATAATAATAATAATAATCATAATAATAATAATAATGACAACCATAATAATAACCATAATAATAACAACAATCATAATAATAATCATAACCATAATAAAAATAATAATAATAATAATACCATAACCATATTAATAATAATAATAACCATAATAATAACAATATCTATAATAATAATAATAACCATAATAATAACAATAACCATAATAATAATCATCATCATAACCATAATAAAAATAATAATAATAGTAATAACAATAAACATAATAATAAACATAATAATAATAATAAACATAATAATAATAATAAACATAACAATAAACATAATAATAATAATAATAATAATAAACATAAAAATAAACATAATAATAATAATTATAATAAACATAACAATAAACATAATAATAATAATAATAATAATAATGCTTTTATTGAAGCCATTATACATTTAAACCCGCACCACAAACACTACCAGGATGTAAACCATTAGGAATGACTTTATATGATCAGAGTTGAAGTGAAATGTGTTTAACTCTCAGGATTGAAATGTAACGTGTTTAATTCTCAGTATTTCGCACACTGGTAACACTTCACGATGAGACTCCAGTAGTTAACATAATCTAGTGCATTACCTAATAATGAGCAGTATATCTTGCAGAATTGATTAATGTTATGTTAGTTCATACAAACACAACTGTACACTGTTAGTTCAGGCACGTTAAATAATTCTGACTGTAATAATGCATAATAACAGGCAATAAAGGCTCATGACAGGCAGAATGATAACCATGACAGACTGCTTCATAACAACTGTCAGGCTCAGCTGAGAAAACTGTGAAGAATCAAACACACAATCTGATCTGTTAATACTCATCACCATCCATTAACCAACGCTTTAGCGAATAAACGTTTTATTAAAAGTGTTTCTGAGGTTTACTTCTACTTCATAGTTATCATTCTTAGAGTGAGCCTTTAGACCAAAAATATTATCTATTAATTACAGCACAGTTGAAGACAAAATTATTCGCCCTCCAGTGAAATCTCAATTATTTTTCACTCATTTCCCAAGTGATGTGAGATTTTTTCAAAATGTTCTGAATCATATTAGCTTTAACTAATTTCTGATCACTGATTTCATTTCTCTTTGCCCTGATGACAGCACTTAATATAGGCCCGTTTCCAATAAGTGCTACAGGTTGGTACATTTTTAGATCTGTTTCCACGGTCAAACGGTTGAAAAAGCAAACTGAACCACTCTTTGGGCTTCCTTTTCAAACGGTAGGCACAACAAAAGGGTGCCAAACTGCAGAGCTAGATGTGCAGCAGAACGCTACTGGCTTACAGAGGAATGTGCACAAGCCAGGAGAATTAAATGTGTGTAAAGCATCTCTGTAGTGAGAAGTGCTTCTCATATGATATGTGAACGACCCGTACAGCTTTACTTTAGCATGCAGTCGACGTCATTCTCGCTCGAGTACTCGCCGTACACCACATCTACCAAAAAGGGTACCATTGGCACCATTTGGCAGTGAAGCCTAATAAAGGTGACCCGGCCCAAACTGTACCACTCAGTGGAAACGAGGCATGTCTGACCAGATATTATTCAAGATACTAGTATTAGCTTAAAGTGACATTTAAAGGCTTCACTGTGTTAGGTTATAGGACAATACATTTTTTTCAAAAGTCATTGCTGATAGAATGTTTTAAGCTAATAATATTGATCTTATTTAAAAAATTATAATTAAAAAAGAAAATTCGAAACTGCTTTTATGCAAGCCAAACTAAAAGAAACAACACTTTCTCCAGAAGAAAACATATCTGAGAAAGACTGTGCAAATGTCCTTGCTCTGCTGAACATCACTCAGGAAATATTTGATGAATAATTACAATTTTCACTGGATTTTGCCTTCAACTGTGTTATTCATGGTTAGTTTAACTTTAATCTCATGATGAAGTGTTACCAGCTGACCACAAATGAGCTTACTGTCTTTAATGAGCATGTGATGTTCATCCTGAGGTGAGATATGAGATATACCACACACACACACACACACACACACACACACACACACACCCACACACACCCACACCCACACCCACACACACACACACACACACACACACACACACACACACACACACACACACACACACACACCCACCCACACCCACACACACACACACACACACACACACACACACACACACACACACACACACACACACACACACACACACACACACACACACTAGACTCTGGTTTAGTGTTAAACCACCCACTTCATGCTGCATGCACCGAGAGTTAAGGGGTTAACCCAGCACCAGCACCCGAAGGCATCAGGAGTTATTTAATGCGCAGACGTACCCTTCATAGTCATGACTGGGCTTCTGCCTCCTGATGATCAGATACGTGACCACAGAGATGAGGATGATGCCGATCACAGCTCCGATCACACCGCCCACGATTACTGCAGCGCTGGTCTGAGGAAGAGCCTCTGCACACACACACACACACAAAACACATCAGCACATCACAACCCTGCCCTATCTGTGTGTGTCTGCTCAAATTATCTGTTATACCGTTGTGTTACACTGTTATACAGTGTGTGAACATATCCAGTCTCCAACGGCAAACATGTTATAATCAGACTTGATAATAGTATTTATGCAGTGTTTTGCATTATATGCCCAAGTTGACAGTTCAAAAATGGGGAAAAAGTTTGAATAAATTAAATACAATATGTGCTCGCAGAGACATACTGTGAAAATGTCCTTGCTCTGATCAAAAAAAATCAAAAGAGGGTGAATAATTCTGACTTTAACTGTATATGAATTGTTCCCAAGTTAAAGCAAAAGACAAGTGTGTTTCCAGTTTTTCCTGAACTGTTTCTATTCACAGATGATACAGCAAAGAGTGCTGGTCAACAGACTTTAATAACACGCCTGCTGACTATCCCTGTGTAAACACATCACCACACTGCTGTCTCTCTAAAGCCACTCCACCACCCTGCAGTCTGCCTTCATAGATGTAAATAAGGGCTTTCTCAGTAAAGGTAAATATTGCAGCTTAATCACTATGTGAGTTTGCATTTTAGCTTTAGAAAACTGAGATAACACAAAGTGACCACCTAAAGTGTGTTTTTGAAACATGCGACTATTATGAAGCATTTAAACGCATTCAGACTCAGGAAATTGTAGCATTCGTTACTTTAAAAATGATTCACTTTATTGAATTATGTTTATTTTTATTATTCAGTTACTGTTAGACTTGAAATAAAAATAACTAAACTGTTTATTTCAATCTATCCTTTTCTTTACTCTATTTGTCTATGCTTGTAGGTTGTATACTATATTGTATGCAGATGCGCTCCCCTACAGAATCATCCCAATCAGTCTACTGTTTCCAAATAGAGATATTCATGTCATCTTGTATTTAGATCACAATATATATTTCAGAATAACAAAATATCACAAAGTCAGAATTTCCCAAGAGCTCCCTTCTTTACAGCACGAGCATGCTTTAATCGCTCACCTTTCATGACCACCCTGACTTTAGTAGGAGACGACTGTCCAGTGATGTCCGGAGGATTCTTCACGTCGCAGCTGTACGTCCCGTTGTCTTTAAACTGCATCTGAAGGACACGAATCGACGCGTCCTTCTTGTTCATGTCTCCAGCCCATTCCACACGAGCCTTAAACTGCGGCAGCGCCCCCGGAAAAGACTTCCCATCAGAGTGATATAAGATCTGTGGAGGACAAACATACGCTGACGATCAGATGATGACAGATCTACTACACATCAATAGTGTATATGCAGAAGGACTTTACATTTTCCAGTTCAAGAACTTCTGGTGAACTCTATGCCATGACAAAATCACAGCGTTTAAGGTCTGTTTTCTTTAAAAATCAATGATCTTCACTGCCTGATTGCATTATGTCTTTAAAATATGGACATTTATTTTACTCCAGTGTCTTCGATGCTTCAGTTTCGGCACTCGTTTTATACTTGAACAACTAAATGAATGCTTGAGTCTATTTAACTGATTATATTTTAATTACATTACAACATCCATGCTGTACAGGGAACTGTATTAAACTCAAATAGCCATGTCAACCTTTCACCGGATGTTTATTGGTATGGGAAAGAACACTAGCTGTGCACTGAGCACATAATATGATATTACAGAGACCCTTACTGTGGTGGACGCTCCCGACTCTCCCTCCGCAAGGAAAGACCACGTCACCGTGGTCAATCGACTGACCACTTCTTTAGACCTAAAGCTGCAGCTGAGAGTGGCTGTGGTCCCGTTCTCAACAAACACCTCTGCTGTGGTGAACACGTCTATCGCAGACACATCTGAGACCCCTGAAACACAGATAAACAGCAGTCAGACATCCACATACATGAGCACACAACAGCACCATCAAACTGAGGGGAAGTTGGTTTAATATTCACATGTACCTTCAGTATAACTTCCCTATAATGTTTACCGCTACTTTGAATATCGGATCTGAAATAGCATGTAAGTGTGACTTCAAAACAACTTTTTAGCTTTGCTTTTAAACTGTATAACCTTGGTCAAATGTTTTGGGTTTCCTTCCACAAGCTTCTCTCAATAGTTTGCAGGAGAATTCCTCCTGGCAGAATTGCTGTAACTGAGTCAGATTTGTAGGCTGTCTTGCTCGCACAAGCTTTCTCAACTCTGCCCACACATTCTCTATAGGATTGAGATCAGGGCTTTGTGATGGCCACTCCAAAACATTCACTCTGTTGTCCTTAAAGTACATTTGAACTCATTTGGCAGTATGCTTAGGGTCATGGTCTGTTTGGAAGACCCATTTGAGGCCAAGTTGTAATTTCCTGGCTGATGTGTTGAGATGTTGCTTCAGTATTTCTACATACTGTCCTTTCTTCAAGATGCCATCTATGCTGTGAAGTGGACCAGTCCCTCCTGCAGCAAAACAGCCCCACAACATGATGCTGTTTACAGTCTGTGATGTTTACTGTCAGTTATATAGTGTTGATGTTGTTTTGAAGTCATACTTACACGCTAATTCTGACTGAATATTCAAATAAGCGTGGTAAACGATATAGAGAAAGTTAAATAAACAAATGTGCAAATATAAAACCAACTTTACCTCAATACCATAGCCATGGCACATCTAATTTGGTTTATTTTTTCCTTTAAAAGTCTCACATGAAGCATAGTTCATGAAACAGATGTTATTTAACGATGTACTTATCATTTATCATTCCTAATGTACTATTCCTTCAATAAAACACAGTAAGATTTAAATATTTACTGTTTAGCCTTTGCTGAAACTCAAAAATGATCATTCGGGATTTCTAATAGTATCCATAATCACTTACAATAGTATAAGTACACGTTTAAAACATGAGAAACTAACTAAGAAGACCTCTGCATGAGTAATTAAATCAATCAGAGGACCGTCTTTGTGACAGTATAATACAAAGAGGAGTGATGAGGGAGGCTAATGTGCTAACAGAACAATACGAGCTAAACCTCCTCACCTGAGGCGCGCACACACATAAACACACACATAATCATTCAGCTTCAGGATATTAAATCAAGACTAATCAAGGCTTGTTCTCTATACACTTACATAATGCGCTATTAATTTTAAATCAGTTATTATAGAGTTCAGTTAAGCTAGCAGGTTAGCATCTCTAGCTAGCGCTCACAAATGAGATTTAAAAAAACACCTCAGAGGAAAGCTGAAGCACTCACCGGCGATAATGAACACCGCAGAGACACACAAAGAAACATAACTGTGTGAGGAGATCGGAAGCCTTATTTCCATCCTTTAGATTTCATGAATAACGCCCGATTCACGGAGCCTCGGCGTTTGTTTACAGCATCAGACTGACGGACACTAGCGCTGATCTCAGCACAGTCTCGCTGACGTCAGATCTGAGCACAGCGCTGTACTGAACACACTGCGCTGCTCCAGGATCAGCTCTGATGAACTGAACACTTTCTGCTGATCTCAGGTCAGGTCTCACACACGTCAGCTCTGGGCATTGCGCTGTAGTCAACATATTCCGCAGATCCCCGGTCAGCTCTGATGGACTGCTAATAAATAAACCAAAAAGGCGGTCACAGTGAATCTGTGGATTAATAACTTATTATTACATGTTTATTATTATTAATCATATTTATTTATTTTGTAGGCGCATTGAATTTGACTTGAATATGGTTAAACCATACACTTACTTCTGGCGATTTTATGATTAACTATTTTATCGCGGTATATGGTATTATCACGATATTAATTATTATTAATTATCCAGCGGATGTTTTATGCAGCTGATGCCCTTCCAGCTGCAATCCATCACTGCGAAACACCCACACACACACACACACACACACACACACTCGTACACTACCAGAGATGGCAATAGTAACGCAAGTAGAAGTACAGATAATCACATTTAAAATGACTCTGGTATAAGTTCTGACTACTTCTGTACTTGAGTAAAAGTAAAGAAGTACAGCCTGAAAAAATGTACAAAAGTAAAAAAAAAGAAGTACTCGTTTCCGCCACGGTCCAAAGCCATGCGGTACAGGTGAATAATAGGTAACTAAATTGGCAGTAGTGTATAAGTGTGTGTGTGAATGAGTGTTTCCCACTACTGGGTTGCAGCTGGAAGGGCAGCCTCTGTGTAAAACATATGCTGGAATAATTGGCGATTCATTCTGCTGTGGTGACCCCTGATAAATCAGAGATGAAGCTGAAAGATTATGAGTGAGGGTAGGTTGGTAACTAGTCATCACATCCTACTGATACATTAATATAAAATAACTCACATTTACAATAGTTGTTGTAAAATGTTTGTTGCCAAATTTCTGAAAGCAGCCGAGCAGCATCACACTCTGCAATACAGCCTCACAACACTGCTTGAAGAGGCGGCTCATGTATCATCATCCTGACGCAGACTCACAGCGTTCAGCGTGTAGTTCAGCTGTTCATGTTGATTCACTATAGATATAATTCATTGTGTCTCTCTATCTTTATAAATAATGTCTTAAATTTTATACTGAATTCTGTCAAAAATATATTGAATGTTTTTTCTTTTGCTAAAATATATATATATATTTTTTTGCAAATTTGACAGCAAACTTTTTTGCATTAGGCTAAAGCTGCTTATTTCTTATACATCACCTGCTATTTTAGTGTTTTTGTTTTTCAGATGTTGTGGTTATTTTATTAATTAATAAACATTAATTCTGTCTCAGTTTTCCTCAGTCTCTTTGGTGCATTTCTCATATCAGAATTGAAATTCTCAAAACTCTCTGTTCAATCATCAGATCATCATTGTGTCACTTGTGCACAGCAGTTTCTGATTATGAACAAGTTGCAAACGCTTTTGCTCTTATGTTTCCTACATTATCAATCGCTGAAGTCATGTTGATCAAAAATCTTTATGTTGGCCTGTGTTGAACAGTCTCACTCCCCACAACATTTCAATGTTGTTTATGGTATTTATTTACATGCGAAATGGCTGAACATGTTATAATGTTTTGTTATAATACAATTTTATGCAACAAGAATGTTCACTGAACATGTTTCTGAATATCTGCACACAGGATGGAGATTTTATACAAATCTCTTAACTCTAATTCCTAATTTGTAATATATATATATATTTGGGTGTAGAAGTTATATTGTGGACGGGAAAAATACATTCTGTGATTGTCGGAATGATGTCTGACAGAGTGTTTCGGTTGTAGTCTGATACTCTTTGAATTATTACAGTCATTGTATCAGACAATTAGTGTGCCCATTTGAGCTCATCATATTGTATTCTTTTAATATTGTATTCTATTGTTGACCGAGAGATGAGGGGAGAGCGCGAACGCAGTCCCCCACTACCAGAAATTACGCAGTACAGATTCCTGCATTTGAGAAATTGTCAGAGGTCAAACTAGCCGATTTGTGCAATGGCTAATCCTCGCCCTGGGTGAACCACCTTTCTGATCATGGTATCGCCCCTGCCAGGTAAGTATGATTCCGTTATAGTACCGGAAGGGTCTTGACCGTCAGAAACATCCTTCTTGATGGCGGTGACTCTTCACTACGCCACACGTGAACCAATGCGATCAAACCGCACAATCCCGCTGTGTGTAGATGCAAAGATTACCCCTTCATCTATATATTTATTTATGTACTTATTTATGTATTTTTTAAAACAGAATAAGGACATTTTGCAGCGAACCACTTCCCATCATGCAACGGGACAGTCGAACAGCCAATGGAAAAGCACTACTTAAAACTAGCCTTTTTCAGAAATCAATAATCAGAATTTGTAAACTCAGGTTGAAGTAAAACTCTGGACAGTTTATCTTTTGTAGCTTCATATATTATAATCTAAAACAAACTAGCGAAAACATTCAATGAACACTATGACGTAGGCAACAAGAACGTGTCATGTACATCACTTCCGTGAAATCAAAACAAAGAGCGCCGACAGAGTTCAGATTTTAACTCCATGATCCTTAAATATATATTTTAACCATTAAAAAAGAACCATTTGTACGTTCAGTTGTATCCCCAATATGTTGTATGTATTTGTAATATAATCAGTATTTTATGATGGTATTTGTGGCCGTTCCGCACTTGTTTTCCTCAACAGAACGTGTGCAGTTACACATAATAAGATTTCGAAAAATCACGAAGCTTTGTGCACCATACAGCCATATAACACATACATGATCACATCAGTGCCTCTTTTAGTGGTTTCGACACAATAGAAGTTAATAAACATACAAATAAACACCTCAGCCTCTTTACATTCAGACACCTTCACTCCCGATCCAATACAGCCTGTTCAGGTGTATGAGACAGAGGAGCATGTGTTGAGGACGTCATGTAGTGCATTTATACAAGAGAGACAAGAAATGGTAACTCAACTGATAAGTTTAAGAAATGCAGAAATAAGTTTCAAAGGTCTATTAGAATGAGCAGAAGAACAGAAAGGAGGTGTTTGATGAATTTCCTGAGGGAAAACTGAAAGGAGTCCAGAAGGGGGCAGTAATGCAACAAACAGGATGCCAGCTGCCCTTAAAACCTAACGACGAAGAAGAAGAAGAAGCATCGCGTAGTGTTGCTCATTACACCCCGCCTGTGAGTTTTATTAATAAATTAGCTTGATTATCAGTGTAATATGGCGACATTCTTCGGCGAGGTGTTATCAGTGTATTCTCGAGCTGTGGAAGAGGATGAGTATGAAGACATGACGAATGAAAACGAGGAAGATGAGCAGATCCGCCGCGAAATAGAGGAGAAGAGGTGACATGCTCATCATATTTACTGATTATCTGATCAAACCTGTGACTGCAGTCAATATCAGCACTTTATAAGAGAAACGCAGGACGCTTTCACTTTCACTTCAGCAGCGCGGGTCTGTGACTCATCACGTGTCTCTCTTCATCATCATCTTCATCATCGCTGTGTTACAGTGATCCTCTATGGCGTTTAGCGATACTTAATGTCCTGTTTCTATCACAGCAACAGCACCACATCACACAGTTAGCCGTATTTACTGACCAAAACCACACTGTGGTAAATAAACACACTCTGCACTTCAACATGCTGGATTATTCTCATTTACTGACTCAACAACACTCAAGCTCAGCTCATTCAGACAGAGGTAAAGTTGGTTTGATATTGGGATATTCAGACATTCTGCTTAATCATTTATTTTCAGAAAAGTGTTCTTTGCTAAATCTAAATTGGGAGATCAGATTAGCAGTCAAAGACTAAAGTACAGCCATGTTTACAGTCAGTTATATAGTGTTGATGTTGTTTTGAACTCATACTTGTATGCTAATTCTGATTAAATATTCATATGAGTGTGGTAAACGATATAGAGACCGTTAAATTAATGAATGTGTGAATATAAAACCAACTTTACCTCAGTGTTACAGCTCTAGTGTTCAGTTTTGTTTATGTGTGTTTGTGTGTGTGTGTGTGTGTGTGTGTGTAGATTGAGTTAATATTCAGTGTTGTGTTGTATGTATTGTGTAGTGTGTGTGTGTAGGGTGTGTGTAGATATATTGTGTTACAGGTATTGTGTTGTGTTCCTCCAGGTCAGTGGAGGTGTGCTGGCTCTTGGGCTCTCAGGATGGGCCCCTGCAGTGTTCAGATCTGATCATTGGCGCGGGGCCGAACGCCAGCGGTGAGACCTCACTCCTGTACTCTAGACACCGCAGATGTGTGTGTGTGTGTGTGTGTGTGTGTGTGTGTGTGTGTGTGTGTGTGTGTGTGTGTGTCCTTGAAAATGTATTAATTTCAATGTTCTGTTTTCAGCGGTTAAAAAAGTGCTTGGAAATAGAATTGTGTAGTTGTGTAGTAATTACTCTCCTAGTAATTTATCTTTCTTATTAGTTACCTTTTGAAAATAAAGAAAATATTTTTGTTTTTGTATGAAGTTCAACATGTGATTTTATGTTTGGGGAGATTCACAGTGAGTCACTGAATGACTGAATGACTGTGTTAAATGAAAGATTCAGTGAAAGATGACATGGCGATTCCCACTGCAGGATTTGATCTTAATTTAATGTATGATAAATAAATATAATGTAGTACTGCGATATTCAACATTTGGAAAAATTAGATTAAGATAAAACATGACATGTAAGATGTGAATAGATGACATTTAGGAGAGTAAACGACAGTATATCAGTGCCGATAGACGACTGCAGGCAAACACACCATATACATGATTAAAATACTGCACTATACTATTGAACATTACATCAAACAACAGCAGAGCATGTGTTTGGACTGTGGGGGAAACCGTAGCACCCGGAGGAAACCCACGATAACACGGGGAGAACATGCAAACTCCACACAGAAACACACACTGACCCAGCCGAGACTCGAA